TTGGCCAGGCTGGTCTTGAACTCCTGCCCTCGTGATCCGCCCGTCTCTGCCTCCCAAAGTGCTGGTATTACAGGTGTGAGACACTGTGCCCAGCCAGTAACTAAATTTTATCAAGCACTGACCATGTGCCTGTTACACCTTTAGCTCAATTTTTACAATTCCATTTAGTGGACATTATTATTATTATCCCCATTTTACTAAGGAAACTGAGGGCAAAATAAATAACTTGTCCAAGTTACAGTTAATACGTGGTAAGAGAGAGGTTTGAACCTTGGAATGGGAACTCTACAGCCAGGGCTCTGAATCCCTGGGACTCAATGTAGACCTCAGGTTTGGACAAAAATCTATGAGTACACTGTCGAAGAGAAGCAGGGTGAAGGAGAACAGAGGCACAGAGGACGGCAGGAAGCCCATGGAAGTTCAGGCAGAACATGACAAGGGTCTACATCATTTACCCATAATGTAATTTCAGCTTTGCAGGAGTTTGCCACATTAAGGCAAATAATTCCCTTTAAAAATAGAGCCTTCTTTCAAGAATTTGGTGACACAATAGGAAATTTGGAGTAAAGAGTGCTGTAATGGTGCTCATGGAGCTTAAAGTTCTAAATGTCATTTTCTCTAGCAAAGAAACTGGCAATCTTAGTGAATTTCAGGGACCTGAAGCAGCAGGAAAATGATTTCTGTTGTTGCCTGTGAAAAAGTAAGCACAATATGTGTGACTAGAAAAATACGAGGGGACAGTGATTTTGGACAATGAGAACACAGATTTTAGTTTTCACTTTATGGCCAACTTAGTAACATACAGGAAGAGAAAATTGCCCTAAGTTTTGGGCATATAACAAGTACTCAGTAAAACACCTATGGTATCAAACTGAGTAAGTCCAGTTTACTAATCAAATTCTGCCGTAAAAGTCATATACAGCGTAATATGGTGAATTTTTTATTTTTTTAAGAGACAGGGTCTCACTCTGTTGCCAGGGCTGGAGTGCAATTGTACGATCATAGCTCACTAAAGCCTTGAACTACTGGGCTCAAGAGATCCTCCCACTTCAGCCTCCTCAGCAGCTAGGTCTACAGCCACCACATCTGGCTACTATTTAAATTTCTGTGGAGATGGGGTCTCACTCTGTCGCTCAGGCTGTTCTTGAACTCGTGGCCTCAAGAGATCTTCCCTCTTTGGCCTTCCAAAGGGCTGGGGTTACAGGCGTGAGCCACTGTACCCAGCCAAGATGGTGATGATAACTTCCAAAAATATTATTTCTGCTTTCAAATTTCTAATTCTAACTAAGAAACTCTTATTTCCAAACCAACAATAACAAGAGCAAAACAATCTTGAACAAAACATTAAACAGGTAAAATTAGGATTATCAATATTTGAGATACTTCAGTTTCTTATACATTGCTTCCCTTCAGTAGATTTCATAAGGTTTAACACTACAGCATTCTGTGAAGCTTATCATCTATCTTATAGAATAAGATGTTATTAACTGGGACTCCATTAGGAAGGAATTTGTGATATTTGTTGGGATGAAATTTACATTTGTACTATTATGAATACAAGCTTTACCAAACAAATTTGAAAAGTAAAATTAGAAGGAAACATTTTAGGAAACAAATTACATGACCTCAACATATTATTGTTATTCAAGATAGAATATACCATAAATAATCATAATTTATTATTGGAAACAAGCGACCCAAATCTCTACTTGAATATGCTTTATTAGAAATTACTGACTGAACAATTTAACTATTTTCTATTGACATTCCGTAAATCAGACTTTTCTCTATCAGACTTTTCTTCAGTCTATAATTCAGACTAGCTTCACTTTTCCCCTATCAAAACATAAGAAAATAAATTTTCAGAACATGGCTGGGTGGGGATTGGGGAAGAAGACTGCAAAGGGAGACACATGAGAATTCTTGACTGAGATGTGGTTGAATCTCAATGCTTTTATTTTACCTTTCTGAGACACAGAGACCCTGGCACTTCCTCTGTGTTGCTGACACTGTTTTCTGATACTTCACTGACATCTCCATTCGCTCTTTTCATTGCAGGGCTTCCACAGTTTTCCAATGCAGAGATGTTTGTGAGAGTCTCCTTAGGATAAAGCCTTCTTGGTGCTGCTTTTCTTGAAATACATTCCAGGGCCTGGCCGGTTATATTTTTGCCAGCCTTTTTCTTAATCAGATCTGACCTGAGGTATTAATAGGCATTAAATGAATGAACTGTTTATTGTGAAATATATTTTTTATATAACTAATGGACAATGTGGGATGACAATGACAGCACTGGATTAGGGAATACATTGAAATGCATGGAACTAAATTGTTGCTGGTTAAAATTTATATATATGATGATTTGTAAGTTCTCTTGACAGACAAATCTTTCAGTAAAGCAACTCACTGTGCATAGAATATCTTGTGATATGGTAACAGGAACAAGTTACAGTAAAAGTCAAGCAAATTACTATACATCTATATGATAAAATTGTGTACAGTCATTGAGAATCATGTTTTCGGCCGGGCACAGAGGCTCACGCCTGTAATCCCAACACTTTGGGAAGCCAAGGTGGGTGGATCATGAGGCCAGGAGTCCAAGACCAGCAAAGCCAAGATGGTGAAACCTCGTCTCTACTAAAAATGCAAAAAAATTAGCTGGGCGAGGCGGAGGTTGCAATGAGCTGAGATGCTGCAACTGCACTCCAGCCTGGGTGACAAAGTAAGACTCTGACTCAAAAAAAAAAAAAAAAGAAAAATCATGTTTTCAAGTCATTATCAGTGATATTGAAACATACCCGCAATACCAAAACCACATATGCTCTATGATCCTAATCTTGTTTTAAAATACAAGTATAGACTGGGGGAAGTGGCTCACTCACATCTGTAATCCTAGCACTTTGGGAGGCCGAGGAGGAAGACTGCTTGAGCCCAGGAGTTAAGAGACCAGTCTGGGCAACATGGTAAAACCCAATCTCTACAAAAAACACAAAAATTAGCTGGGTATGGTGGCAGGTGCCTGTAGTCCTGGTTACTTAGGAGGCTAAGGTGGAATGCTTGAGCCTGGGAGGTTGAGACTAAGGTGAGCCATGATTATGCTACTGCACTCCAGCCTGGGTGACAGAGTGAGACCCTGTCTCAAAAAATTTTTTTAAAAATTTGAAAATACAAGTATACACAAAATTAAGTCTGAAAGAAAATGCAGTGAGCCAGAATGTTAACAGTGGCTATCTCTGGGTGATACAATTATGAGTAAGTTTTATTTTCTTCTTTGTACTTTTCTCTATTTCCCAAATTTCCCGAAATAACTTTTACAATAAAGCATCCTTCTTCCCCCAAAAGAAATTAAGAAAGAAAAAAAAGTCAGGTGCAGTGGCTCACACCTGTAATCCCAGTGCTTTGGGAGGCTGAGGTGGTGGATCACGAGGTCAGGAGTTCAAGACCACCCTGACCAACATAGTGAAACCCCGTCTCTACTAAAAATACAAAAATTAGCCAGGCGTGGTAGTGCACACCTGTCAACCCAGCTACTAGGGAGGCTGAGACAGGAGAATTGCTTGAACCCAGTGGGTGGAGGTTTCAGTGAGCTGAGATCATGCCACTGCACTCCAGCCTGGGCAACAGAGTGAGACTCTGTCTCGAAAGAAAGACAGAAAGACAGAAAGAAAAGAAAAGAAAAGAAAGAGAGAGAGAAAAAAAGACAGAAAGAAAGAAAGAGACAGAAAGACAGAAAGACGAAAGAAAGAAAGAGAAAGCAAGCAAGCAAGCAAGCAAGCAAGCAAGCAAGCAATGGCTATCCCTATATCTGAGCAAAAGTTCTAGGAAGTGAATATAGACTTTCCTATGAAAACACTATGTTACTATTAAAAAAAAAAACAACTAAAGGCCCAATGTGGTGACTCACACCTGTAAACCCAGCACTTTGGGAGGCTGAAGCAGGTGGATGCCTTGAGCCCAGAAGTTTGAGACCAGCCTGGGCAACATGGTGAAACCTGTCTCTACCAAAAAAAAAAACTACAAAAAATTAACTGGGTGTGGTGGCACATGCCTATGGTACCAGCTACTTGGGAGGCTGAGGTGGGAGGATCACTTGAGCCAGGGAAATGGAGGCTGCAGTGACTCGAGTTTGCGCCACAGCACTCAAGCCTGGGCAACGGGAGTGAGACCTTGTCTAAAACAATAATAACTGGGCCGGGCGCGGTGGCTCAAGCCTGTAATCCCAGCACTTTGGGAGGCCGAGACGGGCGGATCACGAGGTCAGGAGATCGAGACCATCCTGGCTAACACGGTGAAACCCCGTCTCTACTAAAAAATACAAAAAACTAGCCGGGCGAGGTGGCGGGCGCCTGTAGTCCCGGCTACTCGGGAGGCTGAGGCAGGAGAATGGCGTAAAAACCCGGGAGGCGGAGCTTGCAGTGAGCTGAGATCCGGCCACCGCACTCCACCCTGGGTGACACAGCGAGACTCCGTCTCAAAAAAAAAAAAAAACAATAACAACAACAACAACAACAACAAATAAAAACCTAAAAATTGGAATTGTGTTCTGGGACACAACACAGATAAACCAGACAGTCCTGTTCAATTCTGATCAGAAGAAAAAAAGCAAATATCTGACACAAGATTGGTGATGTTTCTATGCTACAGGTAAGCTTCACTACAGCTCTTCCGTATTCAGCCAAAATTTGTTATCTAATATTTCACTCCTCAATTGTTTCCTGAGCGAATGCCAGTGAATTACTTCAGAATACGATTATGATGGCTTATCCCAATTAATAAAGAAGTTAAAACACGGTCTTACCTTTTTCGTTTCTGTGAAAGACACAGTGACTGTGGTGAAGATGCTCTACTTGACTCATCAGCTAATGTGGCCAAAATAAAGTTAGCTTCCACTAACATATCATCAATACTTAAAGCCAGAGGTCTAAAAAAGCCAAGTCAGAGCAACAGTGATACTCATTTTCTGATGGACATTAGAAACACATTAGAAATGATACTTAATTCTGGACTAAAAAGAAACAGGGGAGGCTGAGGCAGGCAGATCACCTGAGGTCGCGAGTTTGAGACCAGCCTGACCAACATGGAGAAACCCCGTCTTTACTAAAAACACACACACACACACAAAAAAAATTAGCCGGGCATGATGACACATGCCTGTAATTCCAGCTACTCGGGAGGCTGAGGCAGGAGAATCACTTGAACCTGGGAGGCGGAGGTTGCAGTGAGCCAAGATTGCACCATTGCACTCCAGCCTGAGCAACAAAAGTGAAACTCAGTCTCAAAAAAAAAAAAAAAAAAAAGAAACAGTAAGGCCGGGTGCGGTGGCTCACGCTTGTAATCCCAGCACTTTGGGAGGCCGAGGCCGGTGGATCTCTTGAAGTCAGGAGTTCGAGGCCAGCCTGGCCAACATGGTGAAAGCCCGTCTCTACCAAAAATACAAAAATGAGCCAGGCGTGGTAGATGCCTGTAATCCCAGCTACTTGGGAGGCTGAGGCAGGAGAATTGCTTGAACCCGGGAGGTGGAGACTGCAGTGAGCCAAGATCATGCCACTGTACTCCAGCCTGGGCGACAGAGCGAAACTCCCGTCTGAGAAAAGAAAAAAGAAAATTAAAAATACCATGTTTCAGCATCTTTCAAAATTTTAGTTTGATAAGTATTAATAGTAAAGTTTAGGTATTCCTGAGGTGTTAATTAATTTCAAAGTGATCCAAAGGGTTTTGTTATTGATATGAAACAAACTCAGAAAAATTCTGAAGGACCTACTTCCCAGGAAAGTCAAAATAAATGGATATAGGAGCATGTGTAGCTTCTGAAAATGTCAGTATTCCCTGAAAAAAGAAAAGCAGAAAAAAACTTGAAATCTTTATTAAAAACTTACAGTGAAAATTTGAATTTTAATTTGATACAAATCTTTACCTTCAATTCTTTGAAACAAAACGTTATCTCAGTGTCCATTCCAATTTGAAAGAAGTCAAACTCATCTGAGCCAACAAACATCTCACTGTACACAGCATTGCTCAAATCTGTTTAACATTACGGGAAAATAAAGAATAAAATTAGTTCCAGAGATGAATTCAGAGGAAAAAAGAAATTTTTTGGTCTCCCAAATCCCATCCCATTTCCTCCTACCCTACCTACCCTAACTCCCCAACCTGATATCTGTATGCTATTTTTAAATGCCTTTGTTCAAACAGAAATTTAATATTTTACATTTCTCTTAAACTCCCCAATGATTTAGGGTCTATAAATCCATTTCACATAAATCAAACTGTTTATGTTTAAATATCAGATTTCTTATCTAAGTTAGTTAATTTTTTGTTTTCTTCTTTTTGAGACAGGGTCTTGCTGTATTGCCCAGACTGTAGTGCAGTGGCATGATCACAGCTCACTGCAGCCTTGACATCCTGGGCTCTAGCGATCCTCTGCCTCAGCCTTCTGAATAGCCAGGACTACAGACATGTGCCACTTACATGCACATTTTTAAATGAAAGTATGATCTTACCCTACATACCATTTTATAATCTACCCAACCATATATCCTATTTTTCCATGTCAATAAGCATATTTTTATAATTATTTTTGTGTGTGTGTCAATGTTTTGTGCTTTCCACTATAAAACTGCTTCATTAAACCTCTCTGATATATACTTTCAGAGAGAGAGGGATGTATTTATACATACACATATAACATTACTTTAATTTTATTATTATTATTTTTTTTTTTTTTGAGATGGAGTCTCACTCTGTTGCCCAAGCTGGAGTCCAGTGGTGTGATCTCGACTCACTGAAAGCTCTGCCTCTCAGGTTCAAGCAATTATCCTGCCTCAGTCCCCTGAGTAACTGGGACTACAGACACACACCACCATGTCCAGCTAATTTTGTATTTTTAGTAGAGAAAGAGTTTCACCATGTTGGCCAGGCTGGACTCAAACCCCTGACCTCAGGTGATCGGCCTTCTTTGGCTTCCCAAAGTTCTGGGATTACAGGCATAAGCCACTGTGCCCGGCCCATTAATTTTTTTTGAGACAGGGTCTCACTGTGTTGCCCAGGCTGGAATACAGTGGCATGATCATAGCTCACTTGCAACCTTGAAATCTTGAGCTCAAGTGATCCTCTTGCCTCAGCTGCTACAGCACGGACTGCAGGTACATGCCACCATACCTGGCTAATTTTTAATTTTTGTAGAGATGGGATCTTGCTATGTTGCCCAGGCTGGTCTGAACTCCTGGCCTCAGGCAACCCTGCCTCAGCTTCCCAAAGCACTGGGATTACAGGGGTAAGCCATTGCACCTGGCCAATGTTACTTTTAATAGTTTCATAGTATTTAATTATCTTCACTCAATCTACTGTTGTGAGATCTAGAGTATAGAAGGAAATACACCCAACTATTAAAAGTGCTTATCTCTGTATAGCGGGATATCAGGTGACTTAAAAATTTTTTTTTGTATTTTTAATTTTCTTCAATGAATATCAACTGTTGAAGTAATAAGAACAAAGATTGAGTGACATATATATATTTATTATTATTATTATTATTTTAGACAGAGTCTTGCTCTGTCACCAGGCTGGAGTGCAGTGGTGTGATCTCGGCTCACTGCAACCTCTGCCTCCTGGGTTCAAGCGATTCCCCTGCCTCAGCATCCCAAGTAGCTGGGACTATAGGTGCACACCACCATGCCCCGCTAATTTTTTGTATTTCAGTAGAGACGGGGTTTCACCATGTTGGTCAGGATGGTCTCGATCTCCTGACCTTGTGATCCACCTGCCTCAGCCTCCCGAAGTGCTGGGATGACAGGCGTGAGCCAAACAATGTCTTAAATATACATTCATCTCCAACAAGAAGGCTCATGTCACTCCCAATATACTAGCACAGAAGAAGTTTAATAATAAGATTAAACAACTAGATTGCCAGTCAACTGTAACTATAACTTCATTAGAAAGCTACTCACAAGGGACAATTTCTCCTGGTTACTAAATGGCCATTTTTATTCAGAGATGGCATCATGGTGCATAAAACAGACCCTTTCACTAGGCAATTTGCGACACCAGGCAAGCCAGTTTCTCTGTGCTTCAAATTGTTTTTGTTTTTGTTTTTGAGACAGGATCTTGCTGTGTTGCCTGGGCTGGAGTGCAGTGGCACAATCATGGCTCAAGCAATCCTTCCACTGCAGCCTACCAAGTAGCTGAGACTACAGGTGTGCACCACCATGCCTGGCTATTTTTCTTATGTTTTGTAAAGATGAGGTGTCACTATGTTGCCAAGGCTGGTAAGTCCCCTCAAGTGATCCTCCTGCCTCAGCCTCCCAAAGTGTCTAACTGCTTCGTATGTGCTTTATATGTACTTTCTTCATATGTACTGGGGATAATAATAGTACCTACATACATCTTAGAGTTATTATGAAGATCAAATGACTTCATAAATGTAAACTATTTAGCACAGAACCTGGCACAAACTAAACACTACAAAAGTCATGTGACCCAACTTAAGCCCTGGTTCTACTGGTTTTTCACTTTAAAATAATAGTTCTTTCCTTTGTATCCTCTCCTTACTGCTGTCACCAAAAACATATTATCTAAGGTCAGAGAGTCTCAAACAGCTTGTTGTGCCAAAAGACCCTAGCAAATTTTCTTTTTTATTTTATTTGAGACAGAGTCTCTGTCGCCCAGGCAATGGAGTGCAGTGGTGCAATCTCGGTTCATTGCAACCTCCACCTCCCAGATTCAAGCAATTCTCCCGCCTCAGCCTCCTGAATAGCTGGGATTACAGGCCCGAGCCACCACGCCCAGCTAATTTTTTTATTTTTAGTAGAGATTGGTTTTCGCCATGTTGGCCAGGCTGGTCTTGAACTCCTGACCTCAGGTAATCCACCCACCTCAGCCTCCCAAAGTGCTAGGATTACAGGCGGGAGCCACAGCATCTGGCCCCATTCTCCTAATTTTAAAATGACCTGAATTTCAAAGCCAAATATTTTAATTGCTGATTGTGTTAAACTTGTTGGATCTCTTAAAACTTTTTCCAACCTTTCTACATCTTACTGCTTTTTAGACAGGAATAAAATTATGCCACTAATATTTGCAGTATGGTTAGTAATCAAGAGAAAGAAAGTAATAACCCATCAAAACACCATTTCAGATACAATCCTTACCCATTGATTCCTCATTAGAACTCTTGAGGCAAAAATTCAGTGGAGTAACAGCAAGAGTAACTTCCTCTTGACTTGATGTAAAAAGAACAATGGCATCAGCAAGCAATCTATAAAATGTAAACAAAAGTATAACATTATTTGAAAAACAAACAGAAAGACATAACTTATTAACTGGGACTCAAATCTCTAATCTGGAAATAAATAATTACGTGGCCTGGGTTTACAAAAATTTACCCAAACTCCTATCTTCTTTCTTATACATAAGCTGCTATATTTTCAGCTTATTTTAAAATTATAACTTCATTTGAAGGCCAAGAGAATAGCAAAATATATCCTTAATAAAACACATGAACGCTGCAGTACAAACAAAATTCCAGAATAAAATATCTTTAATTCTATGTTTTTGTATGCCCAGTCACTTACGCCCCAGCTCATACTGTAAAGGGAGATATTGCAAAGTGAAGCTGTTCAAAAACAATTCAGGTGAATTATGCTGGAGACCTAGATGAGGGGGCAGAGGTTTCTAGGCAGCCTGCTGTCTATATTCTTTCCCTCTGTTCCTTTCCTTGACTGTTACCCATTGCTTTCAAGCTTCTCTTGACATCCCAAACGCCCTTTTATTCTGGCTCCTTTTTTCAAAACAGTTTTATTGAGATATAATTCCCATATGACATAATTCACAGATTGAAAACTGATTTGCATTTCCCTAATGACTAATGATGTTGGGCATCTTTTCAAGTGCTTATTGCCATTTTCTTTGAAGAAATGACTATTAAAATTCTTTACTTATTTTTTATAGCTGGGTTGTCTTTTTATTATTGTATTAGAAGTTCTGCACTCCTTTTGACATTTAAGTATTATTAAGATAAAAATAAAATTCTTAGAATTTATGTAATCTTGGTGTTAATCTGATGTTAGACATTGGTTTCGCAGTGTTTCTTGATATCAAAATGTCAGGAACACCTACAAAATTCATTTGGGAACTTTTCCAGTGTTAAGCGGGGGCAGTTATAGAAGATACCAAATAATCTGATACAAAAAAATGACAACATGAAGGGAGGAAGGACCAGGTGGGGTAGCTCACACCTGTAATCCCAGTACTTTGGGAGGCTAAGGCAGGTGGATCACTTGAACTCAGAATTTTGTCTCAATCAGCCTGAGCATCATGGCGAAACCCTGTCTCTACAAAAAATACAAAATTTAGCCGGGCATGGTGGCTCGCACTTGTAGTCCCAGCTACTCAGGAAGCTGAGGCACAAGAATTGTTTAAACCCAGGAGGTGGAGGTTACAGTGAGCCAAGATCACATCACTGCACTCCAGCCTGGGTGACAGAGGGAGACTTTGTCTCAATAATAATAATAATAATTTTAAAACAATATGGATAAAATATATTTTGGCTCACAAAGTAATGTTAATGTTTAATGCTACAGCTAAACTGAAAACTGGATGCACTTTCAAATAACAAGTTCCAATTTTCAAATTTCAAGACAAATATGCCACACTATCTAGAGGAAAAAACTATTAATACTTAGGGCCAAAATCATTTCACATAAAAAATGTTAAAATTTCCTCAAGTTCTGTGTTCTAAGATTCAGAAAGGAATCATATAAATGCAACTTGATACAGAAAGTCACTGATGGGGTGTTTTTAGAACTTTCTTGGGTCGCTAAATTATTATTGCTACCATTAGTTATTATCCACTATTATCTTTATCAAAGTTTCCTCTTGTCCCTGTATGGTGATTTCTCCAAGTCAAACTTTAGCTTAAAAAAAAAAATGTTCTGGCCGGGCGTGGTGGTGGGATCACGCCTGCAATCCTAGCACTTTGAGGGGCCGAGGCAGGTGGATCACGAGGTCAGGAGATCAAGACCATCCTGGCTAACATGGTGAAACCCCGTCTCTACTAAAAATACAAAAAAATTAGCTGGGCGCGGTGGCGGGTGCCTGTAGTCCCAGCTACTCAGGAGGCTGAGGCAGGAGACTGGCGTGAACCTGGGAGGCGGAGCTTGCAATGAGCCGAGATCACACCACTGAACTGCAGCCTGGGCGACAGAGGGAGACTCCGTATCCAAAAAAAAAAAATTTACTGACTGAAAAGCTCTAGGGCACTGATTCTTCACTCCATGATCATACTGTATTCAGGGGAAAAAAAATTGACAACAGAGAACTCATTACCTTGGTTGAATCATTAGTGTATTAGTACAAACATTCTTGTCAAAAATAACTTGCAAAGGCTGACTTTCTTGAAAACATATATTATGAGTCCTTTTAATACCTTAAAAAGAATAAAGCCATCTCTTAATAACTTTAAGTACAAAATTAACAAATTAAAGAAGTCTTTAAGTTTCACAGCCGAATTACAGTAATAAAGTAACATCTACCATCTGGCAAGTGCATATACCTTGGAGAAGCACTATTCCTTAATTAAATGTGTTTATCGCTCCCTAGTGGACACCTAGCAATATGTCATACCTTCTGACCAATCAGGCAGGAGAGTTCCCAAATTCCTTTGAAATACAGGCAGTTCCCTCCTCCTCCTCCTTTTTTTTGTTGTTGTTAGTATATTTTTATTGATACATGGTATTTTAAAATATTTATGGGGTACATGTGGCCAGGCACGTTGGTTCATGCCTGTAATCCCAGCACTTTGGGAGGCCAAGGCGGGTGGATCAATTGAGGCCAGGAGTTCAAAACCAGCCTGGTCAACATGGCATAACCCTGTCTCTACTAAAAATACAAAAATCAGTCAGGCATGGTGGTGCATGCCTGCAATCCCAGCTACCTGGGAGGCTGAGGCACAAGAATTGCTTGCACCTGGGAGGTGGAGGTTGCCGTGGGCCAAGATCATGCCACTGTACACTCCAGCCTGGGTGGAGTGCGGCTCTGTCTCAAAAAGAAAAACAAAACAAAACAAAAAGGGCCAGTCGCGGTGGCTCACGCACGTAATCCCAGCACTTTGGGAGGCTGAGGTGGGTGGATCATGAGGTCAGGAGATAGAGACCATCCTGGCCAACATGGTGAAACGCCATCTCTACTAAAATACAAAAAACTAGTCAGGCGTGGTGGCACGTGCCTGTAATCCCAGCTATTCAGGAGGCTGAGGCAGGAGAATCACTTGAACCCGGGAGGCAGAAGTTGCAGTGAGCTGAGATCGCACCACTGCACTCCAGCCTGGCAACACAGCGAGACTCTGTCTCAAAATAAAAAAAAAGAAAAAAGAAAAAATGTATGGGGTACATGTGACAGATATTTGGTTACATGCATAGACTGTGTAATTATCAAGCCAGGATATTTGGGGTGTGCATCACCTCAAATATTTACCATTTCTATGTGTTAAGAACATCTTAAGTCCTCTGTCCTAGCTATGCTGAAACACAGAATACACTGATGCTAACTTATAGTCACCCTACTCTGCTACCCAACATTAGAACTCATTACTTCTACCTGACTGTATGTTTGTACCCACTAACCAACCTCTCTTCATACTCACCCACACACCATTCCCAGCCTCTGGTATCTACCATTCTACTCTCTACCTCCATGAGAATAACTTTTTTAGTGTCCACATTGTGAGAACATGCAATACTTGTCTTTCTATGCCTGGCTCATTTCACTTAACATAATGACCTCTAGTTCCATCCACATTGCTGCAAATGGCAAGATTTCATTATTTTTATGGCCAAATAGTATTCCATTGTGTATACATACTACATTTTCTTTATCCATTAGTCCACTAATAGACACTTAGGTTGATTCCATAGCTTTGCTATTATAAATGGTGCTGCAATAAACACAGGGATGTAGGTATTTCTTTGATATATTTATTTATTTTTCCTTTGGATAAATACTCAGTAGTGGGACTGCTGTACCGTATGGTAGTTCTATTTTTAGTTTTTTGAGAAATCTCCAAAATACAGGTAGTTTCTTAAATTGTGTGTGAAATAGTGATTGCAGATCACTACAGACTACAGATCATATCTCTATTACTCTCTTTTAGTACCTTCCATCCAGGACTGGTATTTCTGAAAAGGACTTTTGACAGATTTCAACATCTGGTTTGTTAATTCTATTCTATTTTCTTTTCCTTCCCTTCTTTTCCCTCCCTCCCTCCCTCCCTTCCTCCTTTCTTTTTTTTTTTTTTTTTTTTTTTTTTGACAGGGTCTCGACTGTTGCGGTGTGATCTCAACTCAGTGCAACCTCCAACTCCCAGGCTCAAGTGATCCTCCCGTCTCAGCCTCCCTAGTGGCTGGGACTACAGGCACACTCTACCACACCCAGCTAATTTTTGTATTTTTGGTAGAGACAGGGTTTCTCCATGTTGCCCAGGCTGAATTATTTTCCTTTTAAAGGAAGAGGAGCGGTAGCAATAATGAGAATGAACCTATGTGCCAGGAACTGTCGCATACATATTACATACATTCTCTCTGATCCTCACAGTATCCCTATGGGGTAGCTAGGATGGCCTCACTTTCATGTCTGGGGCCTCAACTGGGACAACTGAAACGGCTAAGGCCTGTCACCTGTTTTTTTCATCCTCCAGAAAGCCATTCCATGCTTGTTCTCATGCTGGTGGAAAGGTTCTTAGGGCAACAGTGGAAGCTGACAGGACTCAGCTTGGAACTCAAACATATCACTTACAGTGCATTCTACTGGTATCAAAGCAAATCTAAGGCCGGCCGAAATTCAAAATGAGAAAACATACTCCAGGTATTGAAGGGAGGGGCTGCAGATAATCTGTGACAATTTTTTTGTGTGTGTGATCTACCATATAAGGAACTATTTTAGGAGCTGGAACTGGCAGAGAACAAATCAGACAAAAATCTGTCTTCACAGGGCTAACATTTTACAGAGGGGAGATAGATAGCAAGAAAATTAATGACTAAAACAATAGGCAAGGCAGCAGGGCATACACTCTGAGGAGGAAACATGCCAGGGCTTCTGAATCATGGAGGACCTTATAGGCCATTCTGAGATCTTTGACTTTTACCCTGGGTAAAATGGGGAGCTACTGGAGAGTTCTGAGCACTGAACTGACATAATATGACCTATTTTAAAGGGATCGCTGTGACTGCTGTTTTGGCAAGACACAAAGCTCAAAAGATGACATATTTTACCTATTTAAAAAATATTTTCAAGTTACTTTTGGTGGAATAGGTAATAGATGCACATAGGACAAAATGCAAAAGATATAAAAGAACAGTGAAAGTGAGTCACCCTCCATCCCTGACTCCTGCCACCCCAAAACCTCCACAGAAGCAACTACTGCTACCAGTTTCTTAGGTGCTCTTTAGAAATAACCTATGCATATATAAGTGTGTTTATACCTGTATAACAAATATTTGAATCAAGTGAATATTGGTATTGCTGAGGATGTACAAGCTGAGAAGTGTCTTTTCTTTGTCATCCCCAATGCTCCATTCTTGCTTCTTGCTTTCTTCCCTTTTTCTTATAAACACACACTAGACACCCTCAACCTGTATTTTTTCACACTGTTCCTTCCTCTTAGACTGCCTTCCCAGGCTGGGCATGATGACTCACACTGGTAATTCCAGCACATTAGGAGGCTGAGGCAGGAGGACTGCCTGGCTCAGGAGTTTGAGACCAGCTTCAGAAACATAGTGAGACTTTGTATCTACTAACATTTTTTTAAAAATTAACCAGGTGTGAAAACAAAAAATTAGCCAGGTGTGGTGGGTGCACTTGCTCACTCCTGTAATCCCAGAATTTGGGAGACTGAGGCAAGCAGACCGCTTGAGCCCAGGAGTTCAAGACCAGCCTGGGCAACATGGTGAAACCGTGTCTCTACAAACAATATAAAAAATTAGGGCTGGGCATAGTGACTTATGCCTGTAATTCCAGCACTTTGGAAGGCCGAAGCGGGCAGATCACGAGGTCAGGAGATCGAGACCATCCTGGCTAACATGGTGAAACCCCATCTCTACTAAAAATACAAAAAAATTAGCCAGGCGTGGTACTGGGTGCCTGTAGTCCCAGCTACTCTGGAGGCTGAGGCAGGAGAATGGCATGAACCTGGGAGGCAGAGCTTGCAGTGAGCCCAGATGGCGCCACTGCACTCCAGCCTAGGCAACAGAGCGAGACTCCGTCCCAAAAAAACAAACAAACAAACAAAAAAATTAGCCAGGCATGGTGGCACACTCCTGTGATCCCAGCCACTCAGGAGGCTGAAGTAGGAGGATCACCTGAGTCTGGGAAGTCAAGGCTGTAGTAAGCCAAGATCACGCCACTGCACTTCATCCTGCTCCATCCTGGGTGACAGAGTGAGACTTTGTTTAAAAAAAAAAACAAAGAAAAGAAAAGAAAAGAAGCTGCACCCTGGATTAAACCATGGCCATGGCTCATGCCTGTAATTCCAGCACTCTGGGAGGCCAAGGCAGGAGAATTGCTTGAGCCCAGGAGTTTGAGACCAGCCTAGGCAACATGATGAGACCCTGACTCTACAAAAATTAAGAACAAAAACAAACAAAAAAAATGCCTGTGACCTAATTTTGAATTTCTTGTTTACATGAGCCAATACTTCTTATTTTTTAAGCTAGTTTGAGTTGGACCGTCTGTTTTTATTTCTGTTACTTGTAACCTAAAGCATAGTATCATATAACTACCCTACGAAAACTATTAAATAATTAACCAATCACAAATACTTATTGGACATGATTCAAGCTACTTGAGAGATACTTCCAGAAACTGAATACTTGGTTGTCTAAAATCTAGTTGGAGATAAGGGAAGAGGATAATTATAGTAACAGTGGTCACTATCAAGTACTCCTCCGGGGAAGGTACTGCGGTATGTACTTTACATATGTGATCTCACTTCATCCTCACAATCACTCTGTAACTTGTGGGTAGGCAAGATCATCTCCACTTCACAGTAAGGAATGAAGATTCAGAGAGCTTATGCACAGTCCCAAAGCTAATAAGAAGTGGAGAAGAATTTACACCCGCATCTTTGTGATGTCAAGGTTTGCTATGCTTTTAATTATGCTCTTTGAATCATTCTGCTATTAAATGAACTGAAGTTCAAAAAAGAAAAAAATAATGTTAAATTATTAGTATTTTATAGGAAAAAATTTAAAGACTATAAATAAATGCTGAAATAAAAATGTATTATAATAAATGTAAGATTAAATTAAGAGGCCGGGCGCTGTGGCTCAAGCCTGTAATCCCAGCACTTTGGG